CAAATGTCTTTGCCAGAGGCGGAATTGCCCCGCCCTTGCCAGTCCGGGCTAAGTAATCTGCTCGGGTTTGCTCTCGGGAGGTTTTGTTCCCTGAAAGCTTTCCGTACAGTTTTGGAGGATGAGAGTGAAATGGTGGCCTCCCAATCTCTGCCCCGGAGGAGCCAAGAACTTGGGGTCCCACTTCTCAGTGCACCCCCAGAGAAAAGCAGTCAGTCACTCCCGTCTCCCCTGTCTCCAGCCGCACTCTGTGCTCACCCGGCCTGTTACCAAGTGTTTCTATCTCTGGCAACCCCACTCGGTGTGGAGTCTCCAGACCCAGCAGATCCCTGCAGTGCGCTCCCGCGCTGCTCCTCCTGGGGGAGGAAGGGGAGTCTCCCCGGATCTGCTGCTTGTTGGGTCCCTGCTGGAGGAGCAGTGGCCCGACTGTGCTGCGGATCACGGTGTATGGCAACCCTGAGCTGAGAGCCCACTCCTCAGCTCCGTCTCTGCAGCCGGCTTCCCCGCTCTGATACCTGGGAGTCTGCCACACTCCAGCACCCCCGGTCTTCCTGTGACCCCGAGGGTCCTGAGACCACACTGTCCCACGAGGGTTCCACCCCCCGCTTAGCCACTGGAGCGACGTCCCTCAGCAGAGCCAACTTCTAAAAGTTCTGATTTTGTGCTCTGCGGCTCTATCACTTGCCAGAAGCGGCCAACAGAAGCCCCTCCCCCGCCATCTGTCCTCCCGAGTATCGCCTCAGATTCACTTCTCTGCCCGTCCTACCTTCCAGAAGGTGGTCGCTTTACTGTTCAGAGAGTTGCTGCTATTCTTTTCTTCGATCTCCTGTTGAGTTCGTAGGTGTTCAGAATGGTTTGATCCCTATCCAGCTTAATTCCTGGAACCAGGCGAAATCCAGGTCTCCTACTCCTCCGCAATCTTGCTCCTCCCTATAAGGTACACTTTAATAAGTGTACCTAGTTGAGTCAAAATTCAGGTTGGGACAAGCATACTAACTTGAGCTGCTAATGTTTCCTACTAATATAGACCCCACTTTGTGGCTCTGAACCATTAACAACTGTATTCTCACCACTGGTGCAGACAGGAGGCATTGCCTAAATTTGTTGGTGAGGATGAAAGAACACAGTTACCTTTTGAGTATCTACCATATGCCAGCACTGTATTAGGCACCTCGCATTTATTACTCCAATTAATTTGAACAATCACAACCCTGTGTGTTAGGAATTATTACTCTCTCTTTTTCAAATGAAATGGATGCTGGGAAAGTTTAAACAGCCTGACCTACCAGGGTCTATAACCAGGCACTTCCAAACCTCATACTTTTAAGAGTACCATGAACTATGTCATGTTCTGAATAATCCCAAGGGCAGAAAGCATATTTCAGCTCCATGTAAAGGAAGAGCTATCCCGCCATCAGCTCCATCTAAGAACGGAACAAATGGTCTGCCACAGGAGGCGACCAAGGGGGTTGAGAGCATTGAGGATTGCTTGCATGGAAGCCCCTACTTTCTGGTTAGCCATCACATCTCTAGCATGGTGCCAACACATTTTAGGCCACAGTTAATGTTTATCAGATAAAGAGAAGGAGATGGAGGGACAGACTAGACCACTAGTTCCTTACGAGCTGCTTTCTTGGATTCTAGTGAGGTTTGGAGTTTCCAGAAGAGAGGATGGGTTGTCCAATTCCAAAGAACTACCTTAGGTGCCACATAGTGACAAAGGGTCTTTTTGGCCCTTCCAGCTATGGACCTAGAACAAAGCATAGCCCTCGAGGGAGACTCTTTGGTTCATTGGTGGCCATGGATAGAAGCCGATGTCTCTGTTCTGCCCTCTCAGGCTGTTATGTCCAGCGACTTTGCCATATCCCGCTTCAGACACCTCAAGAAGCTGCTGCTTGTGCATGGCCACTGGTGTTACTCGCGCCTGGCCAGGATGGTGGTGTACTACTTCTACAAGAACGTGGTGAGTAGCACTATGGTGACATGCCCAGGCCTTGGGAGGCCCTGCCAGGGGACCCACTCCTACCACAGTGGTAAGACAAACCAGGCTGGCCTAGATTTTGAATCCTGAAACTCTTTCCTACTAGCTCTGTGAACTTGAGCAATATAATTCACTTCTCTGGGTCTCAATTTCTTCTTTGGTAAAATGGGCTAAGACTCTCGTGAGCATTAGCAATACTGTATGGAAAGCACCTGGTACATAGAAGGCAGCATGAGTGGTTACAAGCATGGCCTCTGGAGTCGAACGCATTTGGTTCAAATCTAGGCTCTTATATTTGGTAATGGCCTTATACCTTAGTTTTACCATCCGTAAAATGGGGATGATAATAGTACCTTTCTCCTATATTTGCTAGAAGGATTAAATGAGAGCTTGTATATAAAGTTATTAGCATATAGTAATCATCCTATAAAGTCAGCCATTATTTTTATCATTATTGCTATTGTCATTGCTCTTAGATGGACTCCATAAATGAGATTTACTTTCTGACTACAAGAAAAAAGGACTTGAAGGATAATTAGCCTGACATGTATCTTAAATTTTCTCCCCAGATAGAGCCACCCCAATGCGAGAGCCATACCCCACCCCTTGGGAGAGTACAGGTTTAAGACTGGAGTCCCTGGCTTCTACCTAAGACTATGTATCACTTCAACTTCCCCAGCCTTCCCAGCAGGGAATTCACAGAGGTCAGGACATTAAATGTCTAGTGGCAAAAATGTTTAGATTGGGGAGATCATCTGGGTTTTAGTCTTGCCTGACTCTAGCATGCTGTGTGAACTTGGAAGAGTTACTTAACATCTCTGAACCTAGATTTCTTCATCAATAATATGGAGACACTTGGACTCCCTCTGTCCCTAGAAGTATTGTCAAGAGGCTTTAGTGTCAGAGCTCAGGAAAGCATGTAACTATACAGATACAATCATAGGAAGATAGCATTGTTTCTCCTAAAAAATAGGCTCATTTCTGTCTTGTTGATAAGGGCCCAAAGCAGGCACACACCAACTGAGCTATTAAAAGTGTCACAGGCTCTTATTTGAAAAGCCCTTGATTAACAATGGGTATTGAAAGAAGCCAGAACATTGCTGTACTAAGGGAGGGAACAAGGGGCCCGAGTTTTCATTACCTAGTTCAAGGACCTTTGAATAATCCCCAAGAGTCTCCAAGGAGAATCTGATTCCTGTTTGCATAAGGAAAAAGGGAGGATTAAGAGTAGAGTGATGGCAGAGAAACGCATTAGCCAAGTAGCAGCTGTGAAATTGCATTCTGTCCCCTTGTTCCATTCTCCCAGTCCTGATTTAGGCACTGTCACAGTTGCCCTCACTCAAGAGTAAGCATTTTTGTGCACAGTTCAATGTATATGTAAATAAACAGCATGACAAAAAATAATGTAAATTCGATAAACTGGATGGTAATATTCAGCAAGTCTATGCAAACAAGTCACTCTATTTAACTTGAAACTCACTCTGAGCATGAGAGACTATTTACTTAGAATTCAAAATTCCCGTTTAATTTTTTTTTCTTGCCTCCAAAGGAGCCATTCTTTTGAATAAGCACAACCCCTTCTCTGCATTAAATGTGTGAAATAGAAAAGGAAACGTTTCCAGCCAGCCATGCTTGCAAAGCTTAAATGGTATTGATTTCCAGCCCGGTGCCATGCTCAAAATTGTGATACTCATGCCACATTATCTCCCCATTGCAATTAGAGGGTGGAGAGCTAGGACTTCCACATCCGAAACCAATTTCAGAGGGAATTAAAACCCTGCCTGCTCTGAAATTTGAACAATGAATTAATTACTGCACTGTAGCTTCTTGGGAGGAAAATGCATTCCCCCC